TATATATATATATATATATATATATATATATACTATTTGAAAGCTTCTTCAACCCCTTCAGATATCTGCTGCACAAGAACTCTTAAAGCTCGCAGGTCAGTTGGTGTTAAAGTAAAGAAAATTGTTCTCAAATAAAATATAAAAATAAGTGAAACCCTCCTCCATAATCAAAACCCATGTGTGTACATTTTTATCTAATGTGCACTTAAAAGACTGCAGCCCATGAATTGAGGTATGCATATCTAATCAATTGGCTCAAGTGCTTTGGATATCTTACAAGAAAAAAAAAAAAAAAGTCTTGGGCACTTTGAGTAAAATATGCTAATTAACACACTTGAAATTTCCCATATGAAATCTATCTGCACCAAGACAATGAGAAAATAATTACAACAGAGGTAGAATTACAATGACCATTTTAATCAACCCCTACACTAGCATTTCACCCTATTTATACCGTTTTTGATTCCATGACCCACTGGCAAGTAATCACTTGAAAATTATGGTTTGGTTTATAATAGGTCTATGCTTTGGACACATTATTTCTGCAAAGACAGGGCTCCAGGGATTACAATAAAGATATGAATCTTGCAAAACAACAATCAGCATGCAGTGATGGAAGTAACTGGAAAAAAGACCCGGAGAAAAGCAAACTGACATAAGGTTAAAAGCCTTAAAATACTCCGGGCACTTTGTAAAAACCACACAAGGCAGCTGATTTAACAAAGAAAAAAAACAAATCAAAGCTTGTAATAAAAACAATGATAAAGACGCAAAAGTTAACTCTGCCAGACATTCAGAACAAAAAAAAAATTATAATAATTTTGTACACAAATCTTGATTTTTGACTTTCGAGTCATTTTTGGCAACATATGACCTTAACCTATTAAATAATTTCTTTTAAATTTAGTAAGGGTCACAAAATTCACTTCAAAAAGGTCAGCTCTCAGCATAGGTAATAAACCTGTACATCTGCACATGCCATCAAACAGTCAAATTGGAGATTCACACAAAGGCTAAACTAATGTCTTTATTTTAATATAAAGTGTTGTACTTTTCGACCCTCGTTTCTTACTAGTTTCACTTAGATAAGAAAAAAAAAACAGACCTACTCCTCAGAAGCTACTAAGGTCATCTCTATCAACCACAGAACACATTAAAGGAAAGAGTTTCACAATCTGGTAAATGACGTGATGATTAAACTCCTAAAACTAGTGCAAGGTGGAAGCAATTTATTCCGAGGTGGTAGATGAAGAGCGAAGACCCAGTGTGAAGGAGATACCGGCTGCTTGAAAATCCAGAACGATTATCCTGAGGAATGTGTGCCTCTCTTTTCGAAATACTTTTCCAAAGAGCCTAAGAATGGCAGATTTACAGAAGAACATCTCACCAATGAAGCCCTCTTTTTAAAATGTCTACATTGTACTTTTTTTTAGCAATCCTGGATTCAATCAGACTTTTGATCTCATTTTAATGATAGTTTGGCTTTTCCTTGCTCCACTTTAAGCTGTGTCCTATCACTGTGTTTACTACCCTTTCCTGCAAATGCATCCCAATTCCTCCAAGGCCCACTTTCATTATTGTGCAACCACTGCCATGTTTGAGTTCCAGTTTCAAACGGACCGAGTGATTCAACGGACAACTTGTCAAAACAAAGTTATCACAATCAGTGCAGTTATCAAAACATCATAAAGGGCTTCCTGTTGTTGAGAAAATTCCCTGTCCACATACAGTACACAAGCTTTAAATCAGACAGCAGTGGTGGGAAATAACACCATGAAGGCTGACGTGGGCAGACAGATGATTTCTTATTGATTTCCTGTTTCTGTTGAGAAGAGAGCCCTCAATAACCTCTTTAAGAATGTGGCAGCCCCCTAAACACAACAAAACTGGAGTGTGCCTTTGCGAGATTAAAGATATGAAGTGACTTTGATCACAACATTGCTGAAATTAAAGAAAATCGTATCTTTGTCCAGAAGTTTTATACAGCAAACTCTCCCTTCCATGCTACTACAGTAAACAAGTCACTGTTCTGTAATTAAACTTAATAGCAACAAGAGGGGAAAAAGTTTGAAAGGAGGTAAAGGGTACTCTAGAAAAGTTAATAACTTGGAAACAAAGAAGCTGTTGTCAAGAACGGTGTTAAATGAAAACACAGCCCTTACTACGGAAGCAATCAGCCTCCGTTAGCCCATGTTGACACATCTGAGTCCTCTTAGGAAAAATGAAACACACATACACAAAGCTTTTAGTCCATTTTACTTCAAAACCTGCAATCTATATCTTAGCATCAAGTGGAATTACTGTGCAACTAGATTTAATTAGAACTGCTAACTCAAGGAGTTCAAAGCTGAATGGCTGTTTAGCAGAACCTTGCTGTGCACTGCTTTGCATAAAACGTGATTAGTTCAGAGTTTTGACAAAGTTTCTCAAGTAAAAAGAAATAAATAATTGGAAAAATCCAGTCAGCTTGAGAAATAGGGGTTTAATTGATGGTAGGACACAACTATAAAGATGCTGCTCATGGGGGAAAAGAAGAGTAGGTAAAAGGATAGCTAGCGCCAAAACAACTAATCGGATTTCCCTACTTCCAAACCACAGGGCTGTGGGTTTGGAAAAAGTAGTAACAAGAAGTCCAAATGAGCCACGTTGTTACCTGACCTGATTGTGGTCTGAATGTCAGAATAAAAGAGTGAACTGCTTTCTAGAAATTATTTACCAGGAAGCAGAGAAGCTCCTATTTTTGTTGACCAAGTGACTCGTGGATTTACACTGTGACATAACAGCAACGTAGAGTGTATGATGCGGTATGATGTGTGTATCACCTGCCGTCTTTCATTCCTGCGTTTTAGACTAAAATTACCTCACGATGAGAAAAAAAACTGGGACCATTTTGGTCAAACCTTGAAAATAAAGTTACAACGTTGCCAGAAAAAATGTGAATGACTCTCAGCTACTACCGCACCAACTTTTAGCTCACCATCTGTAAAACTGACTGCGTTAAAGCTAGTTTTGTGTTTACTGAAATAGATTAGCTGTGGCGACCAGCTTGCTACAGATGCACATCCAGTGATTGCTACTTATTTTGTTAAAATTTGGCGACTGGTTAATGAGATACTTCGCCAACAGATGGACAAACATACACCGGCATAAAATTTACAGCCTGTTTTTCAGCGGCAGGTGATCATAATTTCAGCCATTTATATGTTCAATAACATTGCAACTTGCTGCAGTTAACTTAACCATAAGACATGGAAAAATGTTAATCATTTTAACATTTTCCGTTTAAACAACTCGTCGTTTATCACTATAAAGATGTCCCGCTGTCCGTCCAGTTTTCTCCCTGAACATTAAAACTTACTTCTTACAGGCTCGCAATAATTGGGCTTCTCCGTGGCCACGTGTCCATCAGCAGGTGGCTTCCTGGGAGACGGCTCTCTCTCTGATGATTCACCATCGCAAGCATCTAGAGTCACAAGACGTTAAATATTAATCAAAAAGTTCATCAACAAAACTGCATTATGACTAACAAGTGGGGCTTTGTTTGCATTTTATTATTTTATTTTACGCTACGACAACTCCACTTGGAACAACAGTTGCGAACATTCACTGCAGCATAAGTTCAAGTGGACAGAACCTTGGGGTCAAGTTGGCGTGCGCTCGGTCCGTTTTTGCCAGAAAAAACAATCTTACTGGCAAAACGGCTCAACATGGAGAGCGGGGTGGTTCAGGTGAAGGCCCTGCCAGAGCTCTGGATCTCATTTTCTCTCCTTTCTGCTCCCGGGTATGCTCGAGCTGCCAAAATTCTTTTCCTGCCATAAAGGCTGCATTCATCTAAATTGGAAAAAGTATGTGGGCAAAAAGCAAAAAAATAAAAACACTCTGGGTGATAGCGAAGACAAGACAGGAGGCACTAGTCTCTCCGAGTCCTGTCTACTGGCTTCTTGACTTCAAACCTCCGCTTTCTAATACCCCATTTACAAAGACTTTATTCACTGGTTTGGTGCCAGGAGTCCACAGCTTTCTCAGGGCCTGAAACGGTTCAGTTAAATGCTTTAGTGTGAACATGCTGAGCTCCTACAGAAAAACAACAGCAGAGTTGAATATCTTTGTACAGCAGCAACTCTGAGTGTAAGCACTGACCGATGAAGAGGAGTGCAAAGGTGCACAAGTTCTAGATAGAAATTGGGACATTTCAGATTGGAGCTGACGTCTGAATATTTCGATCTCTTCTCAGAACATCCGCAATCTTCTGAAAGAGTCTCAACTAAACATCCAGCCCAACCAAAAATAAAAATAAATTCACAATCCGACAGCCTGTGTGATTTTCTTACTTTGTCCTACTTTGCTATTTTTTTGACGGCGCAGTAATGATGCTCGGTTAACGGTTCATTGCTTGTTTGAAGAAAAATGAAAAGCGGGTGTGAGGGTAAGCTTATTTTACATGTGATAATCTTAGGGGCAACTGGAAAGTTAATTAAAAACTATAATTGGCTGTGGTTGCTGTTAATAGTCATGAGGGTGTTTCTTCAGACTTTATTGGGGTGGGGGTGACGCACAAACATTATCAAGACTAAAACACAGATTCTGATGAAGTTGCATGAATAAATTTTAAAAATAACATAAGAAAATTGGCAGATTGTCCCGAGCAGGCTGATAAGCGCATTCTATTAGTCTTTTTTTTTTTTTCAGTGTAAAGTTATTATTTTTAAGTTGTACAGTACAATCAAACTGAGTCGAAGGAATAATATATTTATAGCACAGCTTTATTAGCTGTACACCGGCAGCATGAAGAAGAAAAAACACACATAAGAGAGAACTTTGTGCAAAAACAGGCACTTCTTTCACACATTTTGACTTGCCAACCACAGAAAAAATATCTGTGAACAAATGCAACACCTCTTTTGGGTGTTTCTTTTTTTTAATCACTGCAACTTCATGAAATATACATTAAACCTTGAAGAACCACCTCTGGGACCCCCCTGCAATCGACTTTAACCTACATTTAACTGATATATAACTAAAGCCACTGATTAATGGCCTGTCCTGTGCGCTCTTACCGTGTGACACTGACAGCAGGGGACTTGTCTCTTGCCGGGGGGCCTTCTCTGGCCCGTCTGACGGATGGACAGTCTCCTTGGACATGAGACAGTCGTGTCTTCCTCACGGCAGAAGTAGTAGTTCCTCCCTTTTGTTTTCCTCAGCCTTCAGCGCTGAAAAAAAAAAAAATCAAAACGTCTCATTTCCAGACACAAACGAGTAGCAAAACTGGAGAAAAGAAGTGACGTCGAGTGGAAATTTCCCTTCACGCGCAGTCTAAACTTGCTTTGAAAGTGGCTCGCGCGACGTCAGTTAGCTTAAAAAAAATGAAAAGAAACGAGCGCGTGCGATGTATCATTTTAAGCTAGCAGTTGTTTTGTTTATGACGCAGAACTTACCTTTCAAACATGTCAACTCCCTTCAAATCTCGCACTTTGCCATCCCCCTTTTTTTTTATCCCCCTCACACGTAAAAAGTTAACTACGAGGAAAAAAGTAACTCAGCGTCCAGCAGTTCGTCAACTCAAAGTTGATAGAAAGTTGCGGTTTTACTTCTTCCAGCTGTTTTTTGGGCACGAAGACGTCGAAAACATGATCCTTCTCGACGCCTTCCACGCTCAGTGGCGGCAGTTTAGTCAGGACGCTGAAACTTTTTCATCATATCCGGATTCCTCTCTCCTCTCCCTCCGTTTCCCTGTCGGCGGACAGTTAAACGAAGCCCTCCTTGAGGAGATTTTCAGCTCAAAAAATTATTAAAGGGCTGGTCGAAGAAATGTATATAGCTACTGGAGTTTTTTTTTCAGTTAGGTTTTTGCAGGTACTCTGTTCCTGCATAAGAAAAAATAAAAAAAGCCACAAACATAAAAAATTAATTTAAAACAAAAAGGGGGGGGGGGGGGTTCAGTGAGCTCTTAAAACAGGGCTGTTCAACTGGCAACCCGCGAGCCATTTCCGGTCCGCGGGGGCCATTTCCGGTCCACGGGTGACTTCAATCAAGCCCAGAATCCACCCCCAAACATATATATATTGTCCTTGCTGGAATTTTCCTTCCATGACGTGTCAAAGGTTTTAAGTACGGAAGATTTCTGGACTGCAAGCATAACAGTTCATCGTCTAGACCCTTCTAGTATGAAGTCGTGCTGTTGTAACAGAAACAGTAAGCAAGCTGTCTTACTGACATATGCAAGGCCTTATCTCAAGAAAAACATAATCCTGATGGGAGCACATGTTTTACAACATGTATATTCATTTCTGCACTGATTGTCACATTCCAGACGTGTAAACTGCCCATGTTAGAGGCATGTATGCACCTCCATACCATCAGAGAGACAGGTGTTTGACCTGAATGCTGGCAACAGGCCAGATGTTAACTTTAGTGCAGAGGATGTGGCGTCTGTGGTTTTCAAAATGATTTTGAAATGATGATCCGTCTGACCACAGAACAGTTTTCCCGCTTTGCCTCAGTCCATTTTAAAGTAACGTCGGTCGAGAGAACGTGGTGGTGTTTCTGGGTGGTTCACTCGTGACTTCTGTTTTGCATGACAGAGCTGCATTCAGCATTTTGGGATGGCATGGTGAAATGTGTTTACGGACGGTGGTTTGCAGAAGCGTTCCTGAGCCCAAGAAGTGATGACCAGAGCAGAATTACTCTGTCAGCTCCCTGCAGCCACATCAGAGCACCAATCAGCCGCATCTTAGGATCATCGTCTTGATGATCAGGGGCATAAAAGGCTGCAGAGGACGTCCAGTCAGCACTGGAGCATTACCTGCCAATGGTAGTTGTGTTTCTATCCCTTTTACTTGTGATCAACTCTGTCATCCTCCCGTTTCCTGGATTTCCCTCTGTGGACCTCCTGTGCCTCCTCAGCTCCCTCCACACCTTCCTACAACTTGCCTGCCTCCTACCTAGAATCATTATTTGGGCGTCTACCTTCTTCAATCTGGAACCATTGGGTCACCCTTCCCCACGTCTGACTCCAATCCCTACCGTCATTTGGAGAAGAAGAAGCATTATCACCCCTGCTGATACATCATTAACCCTCCTCCTTCAGGGTTCCAGCTCCTTCCTTTGTGCATTTGATGACACCCCTCACCTTGAAAATAAACTCTGAGTCTTAGAGTCTGTGCGCTGCAGTCCTTGTATCTGGGTATAGCTGAAATCGTTACAGACCTGTTTTCAGTGCAGTGGCTCCTGAGGGTCTGAAGATCACGACCATCCAACTTTGAGTTTTAGCCTTGTCCTTTGAGTCCAGAGATATATCCACATTCTTCAAGTCTTGTGAAATTATGAACTGAGTACGATATCCATCATCTTCCAAGTTTTCCATGGAGGAACATTATTCTGAAATTGCCCCACTGCTTTTAGAGTTTCTCCACAGCCTGCTGAACCTCCGCCCAGCTTTACTTCTGTAAGATTCATCCTCTTTAAAATGTGTTTTGTTTTTTAAAATACCCAGTCCTCTTACGAACTTGCTACCAATTAATCCAATTAGTTGGAAAACTGTTTCTCCAGCTGTTTATTTGTTGTACTATCTTGTACAACGTTTTGCTAGCCCTGTCCTGTCGTCGTTGCGATGTGTTGTGGCCATAAATTCAAAATGGTCTTGATTTTTCTGAAAAATGGTACGATTCCTTAAATAGCTGCTATGTTTCTTGTGTTCCTTCGTTAATTAAATACCAGTTTATGAGATTTGCTAATTATTGCATTTGTGTTTTGATGGACTTTTTGCAGACTTTTCCAACTTTTCCAGGACTGGGGTTGTACAATAAAACGGTTATGTTTAGAACTTTTTAGCAAACTATTGAGCATTGTTAAATAAACTTAATATTAGCGTTTCTTTAAAGTTCATTTCTACCATTGTCATTAAATTTGCGATTCCTGCCTGACAAAGAAATATACTTCAGCGTAGCCAGTTTTAATAAAACAGAGCTTAAACTTTCATTTGAGGAAGAAAAAACCACTCATGACACAGCCTCGGAAGTATTTTGATTTAAATCACCGCAAAGTGAACGAGCTCTGCTTGAATCTATAAACTAGGGGGTTTAAACTCTTTCAATAGAGCTGTACAGTTTGAAGTTTATACAAACAAACAAAAAATATTGAGAATATGACGCCAAACCTTGTTGATCTTGCTCAATTTCAATTATTTACCCCAAGTGAAAAGCACCAAGCCGTGTGCTCTGCCCTCTTTGGAGTCAGTCCTGTTAACGCAGAGTCCTGCTGATTGTCATCGCAGCTATTGAACCCTATTGGTAGCAGCATAAGTGAGATTTAAGCATCGGTAACATGAGTGTGGAGGTGATTGATGTGAAATATGCCCTCCCTCATTGACTGCATGAACTCCATTTTCTGCTCCTAATGCAGAAATCACTCCGGGTCCCCAGCATAATGATTTACGATGAATCTGTGTCAATGTTGAACTCGGCAAACCCCACGTAATCCATCTTGCAGATATACCTACCTAGCCCACCCTACCTCCACCCAGCCCGTCCCCTGCTGTCACAATGGGGGGAAACGTACGGAATGCAGCTCTCTCTACATCTATAAGTGTTGAATCCATTACAGGGCTGATGTGTAATCACAGAGGACCTCTGCGGCCTCTCAGACTGTAATTACTTGGATACGGATCCTCCCCTCACCACATCCCCATGAGCGGCTCAAGAACTCCATTAACCAGCATGCAGTGCTTTCACTTACTACTTGGGTGGAGGAGACTGGGGAAGGTTTTAAAATGCTAAAAAAAAAAAAAAGGCACTTAATTGAACATCTTCAGCTTCTTGAACCCTTTTAAACTGACTTAGTTATAGCCATTTATGTGTCGGCTGATGTCGATTAGCTGTGACAGCCATCTTGAATCAGTTGTGAATTTAAATTTAAGCTTTTTTTTTTCTGAAAGTTTCATTCAAACCTGTCCAGTTAACCAAGTTGACTCAAATATTAAATGGTAAATAACTTGTACAACAAGTAGCAAGTAAAAGAGTTTCAGCTACATCCTCATCCAAATTATAGCACTATATCTGTACAACTGACTGAGTTAGAGCCACTTTTCTGTTTTTTTTACATTCGCTTGACTAGGAAGGCTATCCTAAATCTGGTTCACTCCAAAAGTTAATCATTTATAGATTTGCATCTATTAGTTACTTCTTGTAAGTTTCATTAAAAGCGGTCCAGTGGTTCACAAGATATTTTGCTAACAGACAGACACAAACACAGGGCAAAACATTATCACTCGCCTTTTGCCTCTTAAGGACAGATGAGCATCAGGATCACAGCAAAATGCTGTGACAACCCACCCCCACCCCTGGCCGCCCCCACCCGGTGCAACATGGCTGCACCGTGAAATCAACCCCTGTTGTCAGTCTTTGTACCTTGCGTAGCGACGCCGCTGTTGCTGCTGACAAACATTATCTTGTGTGTGATCATGTGCATAGTGTCATCCCTCCCTCCCGCTCCCCCTCTTGTTTCTGTTTTTTCTAAATAAGTCAAAGTGAAGCTGGCTGTGTAGACGCAGTAGGTTGTCACACTGTGTCAAGCGCCGGTGTCAGCCTGGCATCTGCTGCCGTCACATCTCACAAGACACGAGGAAGCGTCTCTGTTGACTTCATCTGTTTGTTTGGCAGCCTGCCTGATTGCCGGAGTGTGTCGTGGCGAAGAGGAGCTCAGTCGGTGCACGCAACGCCGACAGGCCTAATCCTCCTTTTCCGGAAAAAAAAAAAAAAACGAAGAGGGAATCAGGCTCCAAACAAACAATGCAGCTGCAAGCTCCTGTGATGTCCTTCAAATACACTTTGAAATGTTTGTGTGGATTTTTATTTATTAATTAAACCAGGTAGCTGCCACCTTAAGATCTTACAAATTGTTTTGGTGCTCAGACCATATTTTAGAGACGACTCGGCAACATTTAACTTAAATGAACATTAAAATGTTCAGTAGATATTACAGTATTTTGAGTACTACCACACTAAACTTTACTTCAATAAGTTGGTTGAGTTGTGTGAATACTTCTGAAGCATTCACACTGCTGTGATCCAGTTTTCTGCCGTACATTTTTCAGCATCTTTCTCGTTTCACAATTTTTGTGATATTTCAACAAAGCATAAATCAAAACGTTCAGCTCTTTCACGCTATGACTTTTGGTATCGGTGCAACTTTAGCTTTTTGAAATATTTAGCCTTTTCTGCCATTTTTTTCCCCTCATGGGAAATGAACTGAGCTCATTTTACTTTAGATCTGTTTACAACCTTTTACTGCTCCTTTCACCTCTTGTTCTGGTTCAGCTTCTTCCAACTTCCTTGTGCAAATTTTAACTTTTTTCGGCTACTTTCAGCTGTTTTGTGATCCTTTCAGATTCTTTCTGCTAACTAAAACATTTTTCTGCTTCTTCTAACTTATTCCATTTAATTTCAGCTCATTATACTCCTTTCAGCTTATTTATGCAAGTTTAAACTTTCTGCCATTTCAGCTACTATTTAGCTTTTTTAAGCTAATTTTAGCCTTTTTGGCTAATTCCACATTTTTTGCACTCATTTAAACTTTTTTCAGCCTAAATCGAGAAAAGTGTGCTCTCTCCACTCCCTTCTTGTAATTTAAGCTTCTTTCTGTTGTTTTAGCTACTTTTCAGCTGCTAATTTCAGCCTTTTTTCAGATAATTTCCACTTT